GACCATATTTTCTCTGGAACCTCAAAATTCAACGGGGATGATGGTGACCGGTTGATTAGGTAGCAGGTGGCACGAACAGCTTCTCCCCAGAATGGCTTAGGCAGTTTTGCCATATTGATCATACTTCTGACTCTTTCCATAATTGTCCGGTTCATTCTCTCGGCTACTCCATTGTGTTGTGGGGTGCGTGGGACCGTCTTTTCATGTCGAATCCCTTGTTTCTTGCAATAAGAATCGAACTCCTTGGAAGTATACTCGCCTCCATTATCTGAGTGAAGGCATTTTAATTTCTTTCCCGTTTCACGCTCTACCATGGCATGAAATATCTTGAAATAATCAAAAGCCTGGTCCTTTGTCTTTAAGAAGTACACCCACACCTTTCGAGAAGCATCATCAATGAAAGTCAGAAAATACCTATTGCCGCCAAGTGACTTCTCCTCCATGGGACCACAAATATCAGAGTGTACCAGACTGAGTAACTCTGATTTTCTGGTTGAAGAAAATGTAAAAGAGACTCTATGTTGCTTTCCGAATAAGCAATGATTACAAGGGTCTAAAGCAGCATTCTTGTCCATTCTGATAAGCTGCTTTTTCGTTAGAATTGATATCCCCTTTTCACTCATGTGACCGAGTCTCTGGTGCCACAGGTTTTGAGACGCCTCTTTTTCCATAACATTGAGGCTGTCTGAACATACCTTCACATGAGTTTTATATAAGTTGCCACAAATATGTCCTCGAGCGAGAATCATAACCCCTTTCAGCAATTTCCATGTGCCTTTTCCGAAATAACTTTCATAGCCCTGTTTGTCAAGAGCTATACCTGATATTAGGTTTAGACGAAGATCTGGCACATGACGGACATCCTTCAATATCATTGTACTCCCGATATTTGTTTGTATTTTGATATCACCAATTCCAACTATCTCACAGGAAGAAGTGTTCCCCATCTTCACTACTCCAAAGTCTCCTGCTTTGTATGTTGTGAAGAAATCTTTTCGGGATGTGGCATGGTATGATGCTGCAGTATCTACCACCCATTCGTTTTCTTCTTGACTTGAGACGTGAAGGCATGTCTCTTCTTGGATGGAACAAATGGCTACCTCTCCGTGGGTAGTGACTAATGCATCTCCATCCTTTTGCTTCAACTGCTCCTTCTCCTTATGCAATTTTCTGCAGTTCTTCTTTAAATGGCCCTTTATTCCACAGTGGTAGCACGCATATGATGACTTCCTACCATCCGTGGATTTTCCCCTACTCTTGCTTCTGCCTCTCCTCTTATCTTGACTTCTTTCTTGTTGTCTCCCTCTTTCTGTAATAAGGGCATGCGACTCACCATGATCGATGTCCTTTCTTCTGGCTTCTTCATTAAATAAGGCATCTTTAACCATAGACATGGTCAGATTTCCACTAGGAGCTGAATTACTGAGAGAGACTACCAGCGTCTCCCAGCTATCAGAAAGAGAACTAAGAAGTAGTAGGGCTTGCATCTCATCCCCGAGCGGCATGTCAACAGACGATAATTGATTTATCAAGCTCTGAAACTCACTGGTATGCTCGGCAACTGAAGTTCCGTGCTTTAACTTCAAATTTACCAAACGCCTCATCAACAAGGCTTTGTTCCTAGCGGTCTTGGCTTGATACATCCCTTCTAACTTTACCCAGAGGGCATACGCATCCGTCTCTTGTGCAACATGATGAAAAACGCTATCATCAATCCATTGTCGAATTTGACCGATAGTTTTTCTGTTTAATTTCTTCCACACTACTTCTTTGGTGGAATCGGGGTTCCTACCCTTTGCTTCTATGGGATCAAACAAATCTTTACAAATGAGAAGATCTTCCATCCGAGGTCTCCACAATGTGTAATTTGTGGCAGTAAGCTTTATCATAGCTCCAGATGATGATGACTCTTCCATTATGTCTTTAAAATGGCTTGGTCAAAATTTTGGAGCAGAATCTCACCAAACGGCACTCACCAACGCGTCCGAAATGGTGAAAAATGGTAGGATTGACTCTTCTTGGGTCAAAATAGGGCCTCCAGAAAATTTTCAAAATTTACACCAAACTTTTGGGGTTAAATCGAAAATATACTGAACTTGTGGGGCAGATTTATAATTTCAGTAACTTCAGGGGTTATTTCATAAATTTCTAAAAATTTTATGATGACTGGGCGCTGACTAGATGCTGACGTGGCGCTGACTAGATGCTGACTGGATGATGACATGGCGCTCACTGGGCAGTTACTATTCATCATCTTCTTCCTTGGGTAGAAGAAAAAATATTGCCATAACTTCTTCGTTTTAGCTTTGTTTGGCCTCCGGAAAATTGCGTTGAATTCGTATCGACGCAAGGAATCTAATGAAATGATCAAAACACACCGAAGATCACGTTTTCGAAAAACGTAAATCCGGGTTGAAATTTTCAGTGTTCCGATATTTCTCAATAAACACAGAATCGAGGGCTCTGATACCACTTGTTGTGATTCTCAGATCAATATGAAGATTATTTGGGAGGAAAAACAACTCTATTTCACAAGAATAGAATTATAGAGAATTTACATAAAGAATTTCTCTCTACAAAAAACCTCACCAAACTCTCTTTTTGTTCTCACAATCTCTTTCTGAATTGTATTTCAATCTCTCTGGATTGATTTTTCTGTGTAAAACATAAGGCTCTATTTATAGCCTTAAAGAAGGTGGTTGGTGGTTAAATTCTTCATTCAACAATAGAGGCTTCAACAATGGTGGCTTCTAGAATGGGTTGATTGCTTCAATAATGGTGGGCTTCTAGAATTGGTAGTTGGCAGCAGCTGAACTTATCAATAACTACAACACCAATCGCAAATTGTTTCCCACGAATGGACAGCTCAACATCAATAATCAGTATACACAACAAAATGGAAATCCATCAAGGCAGTCTAATAATCATCGCATTCAGTGTCAACTCTGTGATAAATTTGGACATATAGCCAAAGTTTGCCGATCAAGATCTCACTCTGCTGCTGAAATGCAAGCGAATTTTGCTACTCGCACTAACAACCCGAATATTCGGTGGGTAATTGACTCAGGCGCTTCGCACCACATGACAAATGATCCACAAAATCTTGCGTCAGTATCAGACTTATCTGGATCGAATGAGATTATCATTGGTGACGGTAACAGTATTCCTATTTCTCACATAGGTGATACCTCTCTCCCAAAGCCCTCTTCCCATTCAAGTCCTTTTGTGATTAATAACGTGTTGTGTTGTGTGCTCCAAATATTCGAAAAAATCTTATTTCAGTAGCTAAGTTTTGCAGACACAACAATACCTCTATTGAATTTTTCCCATATTCTTTTCTTGTGAAGGATCTGATAACGGGGGCATCACTTCTTCAAGGCTGGAATAATGGGGATCTCAATGAATGGCCATCAACCCAATCAACCACCAGGATATCACTAGCAACCACCCATTTCGCAACCTCCACCAGTTGTCCTTCACTACACTTATGGCATGCTCGCTTTAGACACCCACAACCTCGAATAACCAAGTTGATGGTTTCATCATTGAATCTTCCAGTCTCTACATCTATGTTGTTTACCTTCTGCGATTCTTGTTTATGTAATAAAAGCCATAGACTATCTTTTGGCACAAACACCTTGCAAAGGGTTCGTCCTCTTGATATTCTTTATTCTGATGTGTGGGGACCTTCACCGGTCATCTCTTTTGATAAAGCTCGCTATTACATAGTCTTTGTTGATCATTTCACAAAGTACTCTTGGCTCTTTACTTTTAGACAAAAGTCTGATGTCACCAATATTTTTGATAACTTCAAAAATTAGGTTGAATGATATTTTAATACTTCCATTCGATCTGTTTATAGTGACGGGAGTGGTGAATACGTTGGTCTGCGTTCCTTGCTTAATAGACATGGTATTTAACACCTTACGAGTCCACCTTATACTCCCCAACACGTAGGAACTGCCGAAAGAAAGCATCGTCACATAATAGAGACGACA